AACATATATATAATGATTTTTAAAGCTTTTTTGACGGGCTACACGCTGTTAATAAAAATTTTTTTTTTAAATAACATTTGACCTTGAAATTCAAGGTCAAAATGTTAATTTACGTTTATCTCAAGATCGGATTTTTTAAAATTATTTTTAACTATCTCAATGGAAAGCTTGACTAATTTCCTACAAAACATGTAATTTTCAGAGTGGGATCTTTTAAAGTTTTTGAGATATTAATTAATTAATTAATTAATGTTTATAACAAATGAAATATTTTACAAACGAATAAAGTTACCGTAATTCTGAAGTTAGTAATTGAAAGTTAACGTAATTCCGCATCCAACGAGCCCTATATGAAGTATTTTAGATAAGTAGATTGTTAATAAACAATTGCAATGTTAACTAATTGTTTATTAACAATCTACTTATCCAAAATACTTCATATAGGGCTCGTTGGATGCGGAATTAGCTTATCTTTCAATTGGTAAGTTCAGAGTTACCATAACTTTATTTGTTTGTAAAATATTTTATTTTTTACTAACAACAAGCATCCAAAAGCCCTATATGAAGTATTTTTGTTCAATTTTAGTTAAATAACAATAAAAAATAAAATATTTTACAAACAAATAAAGTTATGGTAATGCTGAACTTACCAATTGAAAGTTAAGGTAATTCCGCATCCAACGAGCCCTATATGAAGTATTTTGGATAAGTAGATTGTTAATAAACAATTGCAATGTTAACTAATTGTTTATTAACAATTCAGGAATTTTGCCTCATATATGTCCACATTAGAAAAAAAATACTAAACATAATTTGATTTGTGTGTCAATGGATATACTAAGGTTTTCGGGGTCGCTGAATCCAAATTTGAGGTCAGATTTAAAAAATTAAAATTGGCGGAAAAATTTAAAATTGATTTGTTCAAAATTTGTTTTTCGGGGTCGCTGAATCACAATTTGACCTGAAATTCAGATTCAGCAACCCAAAAAAAACCCCAAGTACCGAATTTTGAACGAATCAAATCAATTTTAAATTTTTCCGCCATATTGGGTACGTTATTTTGAATTTTTTAAATCTGACCTTAAATTTGGATTCAGCGACCCCAAAAACTTTTAATACGATGATAAATTTTTTTGGAAAATTTTTTTTTTACCGTTTTGGGCCCACAAACGATTTTTCTACTACACTGCGAAGGGTTTAAGTATAAAAAAATTTAAAAGCGAAATAGACAAAAAAGTTAAAAAAATTTTTTTTTTTTTACAATTTATATTAATATTAAAAATTTATAAATCAAAAATTAAAAAAATCGACTCTCACAAATCAGTTTAGAATTGAGTTGAGTTAGAAGAAACAGGAATTTTTGAATTTGGTTCATAAATGAGGTCTAAAAGTTAATTTGAACCAAATTTTAGCATTTTGTACCACTGTACTTTATTTTGTATCCTGAAAACATATAGGATGGTAAAAAAACAAAATTTTAATTTTTGACCATTTTAGAATTTGACGATAAAAAAGACTTAAAAAATTGTTAAAAAAATACATATATATTTAATAGAAGAGCACTGTAAAAACTGGCCGTCTTAAAAGTGCAAAAAACGTCATGTTTTAAGACGTTTTTCGCGTCTAAGACACCAAATGTGTCTTAAAACAAGACGTTTTTTGCACTTTTAAGAAGGCTAGATTTTGCAGTGAGTGCAATGATATTTTAACTCATATTTTTCTTTCTTTTTTTAAAAATTAAATATTTTTAAAAATCCACACGAGAGATTCTTAAGAATCATTGAAAAAGCGTTGAAAAAAATTGTCAATGAAAAATAGTAAAAATAGAAAGAAGATAAGGTCACAGTTGGGGTAAATGGGTCCAAAATCCCTATTTTTCACAAATTTCCTAAGTTTCTTCCTTTAAAAGTTAATATTTGTGGATTTATTTTTTTTAAAGTTGATATTTACATTCCCAGGATTAATTTTGTGCAACAGAAAAAAATTTAGATAAGCTTTAAGGGATTAGTACCACATTTCAGCGACCTTTCTTAAATATTTTTTTTTATTACAAAATTTATTTTTTTTGCTTCAAACATTTTATACCTAAAAAAAAGGGTTTTAAACTATTAAAAAAAAATTTTATTCCTTATTTATTATGGATTATCTTACTGTCATAGTCGCTTGAAAATACTCTCTAAATCTGAATCAGTCATATTTTACTTATTAGCAGTAAAAATCTACTAATTGCCATAGCGAGAATTGAGCAACTGACAATTAGTAGAAATTTACTGATTCAATTAGTAAAATATCAATTACTGATTGAATCAGTAATATAAATATATGGTGGCGGTCACAAAATCTACTGATTTAATAGTTAATTTTAAAGGTTATGTTATTTACTATTATTTATTATTATTTATTTATTATTTATTATATTTATTATTTAGTTATTTTCTATTGCTTGCATATTCACTAATTATATTAGTAAATTTCAAAAAATAACTGAAACTTCAGTTAAAATGAAAAGTACTGATTGAATTAGTAAAATTTCTACTGATTCAGATTTAGAGAGTACCCCGACTTGTGATTGGCAGACACAATATCTCCAATTCAGGTAATTGAAAAATAAAATTTTTGATATTTTCTTGAAAAGTAAGCTCGTCACTGTCGTCGGAAGTACAATCAACTATTTTCGATGAAAAAAAAAACAAAATGGCGGACTTTTTTCATTTTTGACCCAGGTTTTTCAACTTAAATTGTTTTAAAAAATCGTTAAATATTAATTTACAAAAACATGTCATTTTTCAAGAAAATACCCCCTTATACACTGAGAAAAATGTTTAGTCAGAGCAACCAAAATTTTGTTGGTATTTAATCAATCAAACTATTTGTTTGAGTCAACCAAAAAATTTGGTTGAGTTTTTTTTGTTGGCATACTGAAAATGTTTGGTTAGCTCAATCAAATTTTTTTTGTTAGGTCAACCAAAATGTTTGGTTGATCAAATCAAAAAATTTTTTTTTGTAAAATTAAAAATTTTATTCTACCTTATCTCTTTTCTTTTTATCTTTTTTATTTATTTCATTATTTATTTATTATCAATTTATATTTACCCAATTGAAATATTTGTGGACTTTGAAAAATCTCATCTCACTACAAGAATATGCAGTTTTTAAAAAATCGATTTTCTTCAAAAAAGATGTGATACTAACCCCTTAAACGCATGAAACTGACTGTCCCCATTTATCCCAAAATTTAGAAAATTTCATAAAATTTGGGGTAAATGGGGACAGCATAGTTTCTAAGAAAGGTTTAAGAAAAGAGTGTCCTTAAGTATATTACTGTATTAAGGGATGAAAAAACTTGAAAAAAATTTGTAGCAGATATATAACAGTTGAACCAATTAAAATTTTTTTTTTTTTGTTTCAGTATTTTGTCTTGCATTTGAAAAAAACCAGACTTAAAAATCATACAAAATTTTTTTTTTTTTATTCCTTATGACTCCCATAATAGAAATTCACTTGAATTTTTGATTTTTGTCAATTTGGTTAATAATAACAAATTGTCCCCATTTACCCCAAAAATTTGAAAACTCAGGGTAAATGGGGACAGCTTGTTATTAACCAAATTGACAAAAATTAAAAATTCAAGTGAATTTTTGTTATAGAAGTCATAAGGAATAAGAAAAAATTTTTGTATAATTTTTAAGTCTGTTTTCTTTGAAATGCGAGACAAAATACTAAAACACTTTGACTTTGATTTTCAAGTTTTTATGCATTGAGCGATAATGTTTTTTATCTTGCTGACAATTGTCAAGATAAAAGCTTGGCAATACTCAAAATCTCTTGCAGGTGTTCTAAGGTTAAAATATTGACGTTGAACTTAATTTTAAAACTGTAAATAAAGCTCCAACACCTCTTGTCCCCATTTACTCCAACTTACCCTAGATATTTAAATTTTAAAATAATAATTTTTTTTGAAGATTTTAATTTCTAAAATGGTCAAAAATTAAAATTTTATTTTTTCGACCATCTTGTATTCTAAAAAGTTCCAATCTTCAAAAATTGAAATATCAAAAATTTTCCCAAAATTCAAAATTTCACAAAAATTGAATTCGTTTTTCAATTCTAAATTGATTCAAAAATTTCGAAACCTTGATATAATTTTTAATAAGAAAAATATATATTATAATTTAAAAATTCTGGAAAAAGGATACTTTTAAATACACTCGGTAGTGGTGAAAGCATGATCAGAAGGTGAAAAAGAAAAGGAATAAATGTAACAAGGAAAAGATCCCAACTCCAACGTTTCGATCATTCCTTGCATTCTTCATATATAAAATATATATATGTAAAGCTCATCATTAACAAAGTGTAATATGATCATCAGCATTGTCAAAACAAAAACAAAAAAAAATACAATAAACACAAAAGAAAAATTTTTTCTGCAAAAAAAGTGACAGCATTCCATCGACAAAGTTTGCACTAGTCCGTAAATATATATATATGAATATATGTGACGTGTTTACATTCGCGAGAGCCCAAGTACCTTCTATATAGCTATATATTGCTGATAAAAAAAAAAGACAGTGTACTCTAAAATAAATTATATGATATCATTTTGCTATTGCTGAAGCTGGCAATTGTTATTAAATAGGAAAACAGGGTGACATACAGCGACGAAAAAAAAAAAAAATAAAAATTTCTTGCTAGATCATGACCATAGCACTGCTAAGTTATGTGTTTATGTATATATGTTATTGTGCGTAAATATATATTATATAAAAGCAAGTTTGCCGATGGAACGATCTCCTCAGATCGTTAAAAAAAAAAAAAATTTTTTTTCCCTCAAATGTTGGAGAGGATCTACAAAAGAGGATAATTTTGATTTATTTTTCTATATCAACCGATTTGAAAGAGGAAAATGAAGATGTTTTTTTTTTGGAATACAAAAAAAAAGATTTTTTTGACTTTTTTTTGGAAATTTTTAGGAGAAAATGGTTTGGCGATCAACTAGTTACCTTTTACCTGAAGCTTGGCCGTGTACCTGACCTCGGCGGCGGGGTTCGCGGCGACGCATGTATAATCACCGGAGTGCTCGGCCGCAAGATTGGAAATACTGAGAAGACTCGAATAAGGATCCAATTGGGAAATATTAGCGACTGAGGCCAATTTTGGTGGTAGGGGAAAGGGACTTTGGCCATCTTTTAGCCAGGAAATAGTTAAGGGAGGATCACCCGCCGCGACCCCGCACACCGTCCGCGTCCGCATCCCCTCGGAAAGTCCCTCTTGGAAGGTAAATGGCTCAATTATAGGGGGTACTGGAAAAGGTCAAGAGAGAAGAGAGAACCATACGTGAGAGCGAGAAAAAGATATGGCACCAAAACGTATAAGAACCAGGTTTATATATAAATATATATGTTATATACAAATATATATATATATATATATATATATATATATATATATATATAAATATACACTGAGAAAAAAATACTCTATTGAATCAACAGCATGTTTGCTATAACAATTATTGATTCAAAAGCATATACTATAGAATCTATAAAATATTTTATAAAATTTTATAACATATGCTTTTGAATTAATAATTTTTATAACTTTGGCAGAAATGCTGTTGATTTAATAGCATATTTTTCTCAGTTTATAAATAAATATACATAAATATATACCTATATTTATGTATAAAATATATATATATATATATATATATATATATATATATATGTATAATGTAACACATTAGTAACAGTAGTAGTAATAGTAATAGTAATAGTAATAGTTATATAGTATAGTAGTAGCGGTAGTAGTACGTTCATGTATATATAATATATGTATACAATAATGTGGATGTAAATATATATATATGTACATTAGAGGCATTAACGTAGCAATGTAGAGGAGAGAGAGTTTGGCCCCACCTCGAACAAAAGCCCTGCCGCCCTTTAATAAATAAATTTATCATTCATTCCTTATTTAATTTCAATCACTCAAAGTCAAGCGATCTTGATACTTCAATACGTTCCTGCTGTCCTGCATTTTCAATTTTGTTAATTAGTTATATATTTTTATTGCGATATAATACCGTTAGTAGTGTTTAACAACTCTTTTCAATTTTTTCGCGTTGAGAACCATTGACATGACGTCATGGCTCGTTACTTCCACTCAGAGACGCCAAACGCTACTGCGCTTCTGCTGCGCTTTCTGTAGTAAAAAAACGCGCAGATTTTTAAATATAATAAAATTTTATAAAAACAATTGTAACTCTTAGATTTAATGCTTTTACGATTACTTATAAAGCCTTTCTAATAAAAAAATAATTGTATTAAACTACTTTTAGATAATATTTGTTAGAATTTAACTTTTAAATTTAAATAATTTTATTAACTAATTAATTATTATACGGAACACTTTTTAAAGAAGAATCAGACAAAAAAATTGAAACAAAATTTTAGTTCACCTGTGTATTTTTGTATTCTTAAAGAAAAAGATAATTTAAATTTTAAAAAAGCTTCAGTAAAATTTTAAATATTTTAAAATCATTTTATTCAGATTTTTTGTCTGTTTCTTCCTTAAATATAGTTACCAAATTTTTCTGGTGTAAATATTTTCTTGTCTAGAAAATTGAAAGAAAAATTTTGAGGAATAAAATTAACATCATTTTTCTCTTGATTATTTAAAAAAAAAAACTATCTATTGTTAAATTTTGATTAACTTTTTGTGTTTGGCACAATGGTAGAAGAGTATAATTATTCTATAAAAATATTTTTTATTTATTAGTATTCTTATTCTGTAGAATTTTAAGTAATTCTAATTGTAAGAGTTACAATTTTTTTACTGTTCTTATAATTTTTTATTATATTTAAGGAGTTTAAATAAACAACATCATTTACTAATATTTAAAATTTTTCGCAAAAACGTACCGACGGTTGACGAAGATAACCAAACAAAATATTCACGAACTGAATTCAGTGAAAATTAAATATGGCGTTCATTGAATTATTATTCGAATATATTGAAGGACAGCACAAACGTTTTGGGCTCATGAGCTAAAAAGATCAAGATGGTTATATCATGCATGAAATTGAGCCACGTTATAATTGTCCTATAAATATTATGTTCATATATATATAGAAAAATATTTACATATTTTACAAATTTACAAATATTTAAATTTGTATTCAGAAAAATTGTCAAATTATGTTCATACACATTATATCGTGACTGACTCGCTTATAGAAATTGCATATATACAAAAAAAAGGCCAGCGTTACATGGAAGTGAAAAATTTTATTTTTTCTCAAAAATCAAAATCAAAAAGCAAAATTAAATTTTTATTCACCCGAAATGAAAAATATTCCACGCGAACTATAAAAAAATAAAAAAAAAAACAGAAACAAATATAAGTAAAATAATAAAATAATTCATGAAAAATTTTGCAATCGTTAAATAAATAAAACAAAAGTGTAAAATAGAACAGAAATGAAAAATATATGAAAAAAAACAAAATTTCATTTCAAATGAAAAAATTGCATTCCGTATAGTAGAGATATAATATGAAAAATAAATGAAAAATACAAAATCCGGTTTTTTATATATATAAAAAAATGCATTATTGTTTTTTTTTCGTTTTTTTATCGGGAACGAAAGAACTATATCGAATCGTAAAAAACATCCATGCATTCAACTAAACAATCGAATAGAGAAAAATTCTTATAAAGATAAAGACATCCAATAGATTCGGTTTTTTTTTTCATTTTTAAAAAAATGAATATTAACAAAAAATTTAAATGTCGGTGTAATTTATGACGAAAGATGCAGACTTATGTACACATTATATGTCTAAAAGATCTAGAAGCATATCAGGCTTAAAAATTGCTTTCCCAATATAAAAATTCACAAATAACCAAGTATCAGGCAAACTAAATGAATCAGAACATGCAAATAGGGATTGTAATCATTTTCTTCCATATAACGCTTTAAAAGCCTTAAGGCAACTTTCGAGTACGAGAAAAAAAAATCATTTTTCATGTTTTAATTAATAAATTATATTTATTAATTAATATTTAAGTTTACTTAATCTTTGGTAAAATGTAAAAAAAATCACCTTCGGGAAGAATCGAACCCTTGTAATGATAGTTAGAAATCGGCCGGTAAATATTTGTACTAAATATTATTGCGCGTCGATAAACAAGTTACCGACCGCGGAGCACAAAGACGTAGTACCCGATTTCGCCGCGCGGGCCGCATCGCCAAAGCTCACTCGTGTGCGCCCAGCCTACCGATCGGCTATATAAGCTGCGCTCTCGCTGAGGACCGTCATTCTCGTGCTACACGGAGTCCGGGAGGGTCTTACCCACCTTACTAGGAGTTTTACTCTCGTTCGTCGGGTTTTACCCGTCGAACATCATATCGGTTTTATGTGTAAATAGTGTATAGTAACGAATTGTAAAGTAATGTATCGCGATGTAAAGTAACGTACCTAATGTATAGTAAAGAATTGTAAAGTAACGTAACAAATGTATAGTAAAGAAATATTGTATTCCCGCAGTTTAAAGTAAATTTTTCGTTTTATTACCGTTTGTAGATATACTTAGAGTTTTACTCTTCGTATAATTGGAACACGAGTTTTACTCGTAGTTCACCAGAATATCGCGAATTTTTAGGCAGTATTGCAATTGATTTCACGGCTCATCGCTGCGAGTTGAAGCCGATTTCGTTAATGCGCGGCTCAAATAAGCGACGTTACCAGATTGATGCCGAATCTCGATTCCGCGACTCAACGTATCGCGATAGAGACGCCGACAATCGTTGTGTGAAACCGACTTCCGCGATTTATCTGTACGTCTGTATATTTTTCACCTGTAAATACCGTTGTAAATAAATAATTTGTTTCAGTTTGTAATTAACCCGTAATTATCCTGTTATTATTTTTTTGTTGGAATCAAAACGAACCCTGGCTCGACGAGCTAAATATTGATTCTTACAATTACAAACGTTACACCATCGATGAAAATTTCAAACATGTCGAGCACTTTACCGCTAAACCACAAACAAAGTTGTAAATTTTTTTTCACCTTTTATTCAATTTTTGCTTTAAATCAACGATTATAAAGAATTTCTTTTGAAAAATCTTTAGAAAAATGATTTTTTCTCTCATCTAAACTCGAAAATTCTCTTAATATTGTAATATATATATATATATATATAATATATATATGAATAATAAATATTAAGTATAAGAGATAATTATGCGGTTTTAAAAAAAGGCGTTCTCATATATATATATATATATTGGGGAATGCGCATATTCACATGGCGAACAATATTTTGGGCGGCTAGGGGTGTCGGGCTTTAATTTTTTTTTTGGGGCCTAAAGAAGGATTACCATGAACCACAAGCCGCTGCGTGTGCGATACCTCTGCGGCCATATTACGTGCGACACACGAGTAGTTGCCATTATGATCTGGAGATAAACTTTCAATCATCAGTATGCTACTGAATTGTTCCATATTGGTGATGGTAACACGTTCCGATGGTCCCATTGAGCGGCCATCTTTAAGCCACGATATCGATAATGGAAGATCGCCCCTTGTCACTGAGCATGTTAATGTTGTTCTTTCACCAAGATGAAGATCACGATCTGCCGTGAATGGGCTAATTTTAGGAGGAACTGAAATTTAAGAATAAGAACAGCATTGTGAGCACATTATGAGCATAATGTCCAATTCTGGCTACGTCTCTGATGGCATGATTATTTTTTTTTTTTTGGATTTCACAATTCTTGATAAGATGATTGCTTTTTATTCTGAAAAATGAAAAATTCTTCCGACTCTTCGATTTCTTTCTTTTTTTTGCTCAGCGATGGAAATGAAACTGGACACCGATCTGGATAATCTGAAAATAATTTCACTAAAAATAATGGGGATAAAAAAAGAGAATCTTACCGATTACTGCAACTTCGCCGGTTCTTCGAGCGCTGTGTCCTTGTTTGTTGCGTGCCCAACATGTATATGAACCGGTGTCAAATTCTTTTTGAACACTGTTGATCATTAGTGTGCCATCGGGTAGGACCTTGTGACGTAGATCATCGGGTAATTCACGACCAGCACGCTCCCATTTTATCTCTTCGATTGGATAGCCGGCGACTGGACATTTAAGACGAAGAGTTTCTCCTGCTACGGCTGTTACTTTTGGAATGAGACGAATGTATGGGAGACCTGTATGGAAAAAAAAATTTACAAACAATAATAGAAAGTTGTGTATTTTTTGAAAATTACTTGAGCAGAAAATTTTAAAGGGAAAAATTGTAAATTAGAAGTCTTAAAAAAAAAATAATTTCTAAAAACAAAACATTAAATAAAAATCAATAATTAAATATTTGAATTCTTAAGTATGGGAATATATCCATTAGTGGACTACCTTTTTATTTACTCAAATAATTTTTTTCAGTGAAGGAAATTTAAAAACTATAATACACAGTTGGATAGGTATTGTCCTTAGCTATAAGTTATATATATTGAGATTTTTTTCAGCTTCAAGGAATAATTTTGAGATCAATTTTCTGATGATGTTTTTTTGACAAAAAAAAATTTGTATCCCTGAGTAAACCACCTGCTGAAATCGCTTTAAAATGATTAAAAATCAAATAAATATTGAATGATTTCAATGCTTGTGGAATATTTATTTATTATAAACACTTGGAACATTCAAACAAACAAAAATATTAGTGCATTTCAATTAATTTCAGTGTTACAAATAAAAACATATTTTTCTATTTAATTTACGCTTGGGGCATTGTAAACAACGAATCAAAATCAATTTCAATTGCCTTTTTTTCTTCGACAGATTTCTTTTTTAACGCTTTTAATGACATTTTAAAAATTTGTAAACGCTAAAATGTCAAATTTACCACAGTGATGTGAGTTTAGTATCATTTTTGGATACAAAACAATCGACGATTTATATACGGTCCGCACTCATGGATACAAAAGGTGGTTAAAAATAAATATGTAAATAATAAAAAAAATTAAACTGACTTTGAAAAAGTAAAAATTAAATATTTTTTTGGGTATAGTTCCGATTAGTCCAAACCTCCAATCTTTTTGAAACTATGTATATCCACGTATTTTTTTGCGCTGATTACGAAAATCATAGTGAAAATTGACGTAAATGTGATTATCATGGTAAAAACCATAAAAAACACCATAAAATTATGATTTTTTGCAATTAACTCGTAAAAAACGCAAAATTTCGAAAAATGTTTTAGACAAAAGTTGTAGGTCTCAAAAAAACACACATTTTATGATTTATACATTTTTTAATAGACAAAATTATTTTTCTAGAAAAATAAAAAAAACATCAAAAATAATGGAGAAACAGTGCACATCATAACTAGAGAGAAAATTGGATCCCACCCGACTTCGTCTGCAGAATACTTTCGACCATAACTTACCCCTCTCGCCAAGATGTCTTTAAAATACATGCGAGTAAAGCTATTCGCAAAAAAAAATGCAATGCGGCCGTAGGTCGCGTAACTGTAGTTTTTTGAACTTTTCTCAAAAACCAGGGACTGTCACGGAACAATTGTATCGTACCTGGTTTGGTCCTACACGGAAAGAAATGCTATTGAAATTTCAGCCATAAACTTATGGTTGAGATTTCTGGTTGAATTGGTTATACAGTTTGTCAAATTGGCAGGTAAGTTAGGTTATATTAGCCATGTGAAGTCTGATTCAGATATCTTGCTCTTTGGAAGTACTATTCGTTTGGTTGGATTACCCAAACTGTATGGCAGTAACAGTGCCATGTTAATTCAGTTATACGATATGACAGAAACAGCAAGAATTATGGCAGTAATTACGAAAAATTTCTTTTAGTGTAGGTACTATACGATTATCAACTTAAGAATCGTATCGTGTCCGGATACGATACTAATAGTAACATGAGAATCGTATTGTATTAGGGTACGATACAAAAAATTACTTGAGAACAGGGACTGACACGGAAACGAAACAAAACGCCAAATGAATTTAGTTTCGTATGGTGTTCAATCACAAACACATTTAATAATTAATAATGTTTTCGTGTCCTGACCGGACACATTTAAAATAATTAAATGTTTTCGTGTTCTGACCGGATACTTTTGAAATAATTAAATGTTTTCGTGTCCTGACCGGACACTTTTGAAAAAATTAAATGTTTTCGTGTCTGGACACGCCACTTTAAATTTTTTTTAATGTTTTCATGTCCTGACCGGACACTTTTGAAATAATTAAATGTTTTCGTGTCCTGACCGAACACTTTTGAAAAAATTAAATGTTTTCGTGTACTGACCGGACACTTTTGAAAAAATTAAATGTTTTCGTGTTTGGACACAACACTTTTAAAACTTTTAAATGTTTTCGTTTTCGGATACGACCTACTTTCTCATTGAAAAATGTTCTCATAAATAAAACTTGTTAGGCGATTGATTTTAAAGGATTAATAGTCATTAATGTTATTAATGCGAAGCAAATTTTTTTCAATGCATTAATCGTTACCACAGTAATCGTTACCACAATAATCGTTACCACAATAATCGTTACCACAGTGATCGTTACCACAGTAATTTATAATATATTAAAGAAGAATTTAATAACTAATTTTGGAAATTTATGGGGTAATTTATGGAAATTTATGGAAATTTATACGGTAATTTATGAGGTAATTTAAAAATATTAGTACAAACAAAATTTAAGATTTAAAATTTTTTGCAGGAAATTTATGAAATTTATGCGGTAATTTATGAAATTTTTAAGGTAATTTATAATATATTAAAGAAAAATTTAATAACTAATTTTGGAAATTTATGGGGTAATTTATGGAAATTTATGGAAATTTATACGGTAATTTATGAAATTTGTGAGGTAATTTAAAAATATTAATACAAACAAAATTTAAGATTTAAAAATTATTGCAGGAAATTTATAAAATTTATGCGGTAATTTATGAAATTTTTAAGGTAATTTATGAAAATTTAATGGACATATATGTTGTAATGTTGTGAATTATTTTAAAAAAAATTTAAAGTAACTTTTAAACATAACATTCAATGAAAGACGGCTAACAGGCTTGCTCACGATTCTGAGGCTGAGCCATGACGCACAATTAATGATTTTTTAAAGAAATTATGTCTTGCGTCCAAATACGAAACATTATTCCATGAGAAAATGTGTCGTGTCCTGACACAAAAACATTTTTTTATTTCAAAAGTGTCAGGTATAAACACGAAACGATAGTCGATGAGAAAATGTGTCGTGTTCTGACACAATACATTATTCGACAAGAAAATGTGTCGTGTCCTGACACGAAAACATTTCTTTATTTCAAAGATGTCGGGTCCAAACACAAAACAATATTCGTTAAGAAAATGTGTCGTGTCCTGACACGAAAAGATTTATTTATTTCAAAAGTTTCGGGTCCGGACACGAAACATTATTCGACGAGAAAATGTGTCGTGTCCTAACACGATACGATAATCAATGTAGAAATGTGTCGTGTCAGGACACAACACATTAGTCCATGTGTAAATGTGTCGTGTCTGGACACAACACATTAATCAATGTGTAAATGTGTCGTCTCAGGACACAACACATTAGTCAATGTGTAAATGTGTTGTGTACAGAACAGAAACGGAAACGACACGAATGATTCGGGCAGGTCCCTGCTTGAGAATCGTATCTTATCCCGGCACGATACGAATAAAGACTTTCGAATCGTATTATATCCTGGCACGATACAAAAAATGACTTAAGAATCGTATTGTATTCGGGCACGATACGAATAAAGACTTTAGAATCGTACCTTGCTTATAAACAATTTTATTATTTTCAGCCAAAAGTTCTGAACGTTCAAATGAACAAAATATTTTTTTCAATCTATAAATTATTAAAACTTATGATGGAAATATTAAATTTTAGAAACATATTTAGAAAATATTATAATATAATATACTATTTCGTGAAACGATACGATTTTAATATTACAAATTATATCGTGCCTGGGCACGACACTTTTCACCTATGTACTAATCGTATCGTGCCTGGGCACGACACTTTTCACCTATTTACTAATCGTATCGTGCCCAGGTACGATACGTTTCTTTCATTACAATTCGTATCGTGCCTGGGCACGACACTTTTCACCTATTAACTAATCATTTCGTGTCTGGGCACGACACTGTTCATCTCTTTACTAATCGTATCGTGTAGGGACACGCTACGTTCCATCTATTACACAGACCAACAAAATTAGAACATTTTTTTGGTGCGGCAAATGTCAAAGCTGTTTCTGATAGGTTTTTTCATGCTGAATACGAATCCGTAAACAAAAAGTTTCTGTTAGCTCTAGTTTTTGAGAAAAACGGGTTTAAAATTAATGTCAATAAATGGCGTTTTTGGAAAACTTTAAGTACATCTAGCACTGAAACAAAAAGTCGTAGAACCTTTCACTTGGGCTTAAATTGAAGTTTAATGTTTCAACTATAATCCCCAAAAATCACCTTTCTTTCACCATGAACTCAAAGTCATCTGTAATCCATTTTTAAGTTGTAAAAATTAATTTTGGAATAATTGGAGTGCATACACCTCCGGCGATGAAATTAAAGGTCTTATAACCTTCTTGTGGACTTAATTTAAAGTTTGAACTCTAGACTACAATCACTGAAAATTCATTTTCAGCACCTTAATCTCAAAGTCATTAGTGATAATATGTTTTCTTTTAGCAAAGGAATCTATTTTAACAATGGTTACCAATAATTTTTAAGTTATTGTTGCATTAATTTAATTTTTAGAGATTGTAGTCTAAATTTTAAACTTTAGTATAAGCCCAAATAAAAGATTCTATGGCCTTTTGTTTCATTGCTACATGTACACGCTCAAACTTTTCCAAAATTAATTTTTGCGACTCAAAAATGTTATACAAATGACTTTGAGGTCATGGTGCCAGAAATGTGCTTTTTTTCGTTTACGGATTCGTGTTCAGCATGAAAAAACCTATCAGAAACAGTATTGACATTTGCCGCACCAAAATCAGTGTTAACCTGTGTTACTAATCGTATAGTGTCTTGAACCCGACTAGATACGATCATCATGTATAGTTTCGTGTAGGTGACAGACCCTGTCAAAAAACGAATGAGTTCAGGTGAAAAATGTATAAATCATAAAATGTGTGTTTTTTTGAGACCTACAACTTTTGTCTAAAACATTTTTCGAAATTTTGCGTTTTTTACTAGTTAATTGCAAAAAATCACAATTTTATGGTGTTTTTTTATTGTTTTTACCATGATATTCACATTTGCGCCTATTTTCACTATGATTTTCGTAATCAGCGCACAAAAATACATGGATATACATAGTTTCAAAAAGATTGGAGGTTTAGGCTAATTGGAACTATTTTTAATCTCGGAAAAGATGGTCACAAAATTTTCACAACATTTTTTTCGTGCGGCTGGTATTAAACACAAAAATACGTTGATTTAAAATGTTTTTACGGTGTTTTACCTTGCCGTGCAAGGTTGGCAATATTGCGCGGCAAGCTTGCCGCAAGGTTGCTGTGAACTTACGTGCTATCTGGGCAGCGATCCCAAAAATGTAAAGAAAATATGACCTTCACACTATATAGGCCAGAAAATTTTTTTATTTTGTATCTGTTTATATAATTAATTGTCTCTATTTGGCTTCCCTTCTGTTCGTAATGTTACATGTTAAATGTCCTAAATAAACTATCGTATTGAAATTAAAATTTCATTTTTTTTTTGACATCGCACAACAGAAATTTATTTTATTGCAATATCTATTTTTTATTATTATTATTATTTAACCTGAAGCTCTCAATGTGTAATCAAAAGTTCTCGTATATAAATAAAAATAAAAACTGACTGCAAATATCAAATGTTATTTTTTCACTGTTTTTGAAAGATTTTGACTTTTATTAAATAAATGATCAAATAAATTCATTCATTTGCAAATATAAAAAAAAAAGTTGAACGGCTGTCTATTTACCAACCAGGTTTTTTTTTTTTGTTTCACGACTATATAAATTAATAATTGTTTTTTAGAGTAGAAAATAGAGACAGATTGAAAAGTGAGACTGCGAAAGTCATGAAAGTTTAAATGGATGGAAAAAATGAAAAAGTTTTATAACGATATTGTATATGTATATAGAAAAAGCAGGCGCCTTGTGTATTTGGCTTAAAAAAAAGTGCTAACAGTACAAAAAGCAAAGTTAATGGGTTATATTCTTTAAGCAGGAAAAAATTGATGGAAAAATTTAAAATCAATTCAAGTAAAGGAAGGTATAAAACAATATTGAAATACTATTCAGTGAAAATTTAAATTTTATGTTTAAAGTATAGAAAATTAAATTCTATTTTTTTTGGGGGGGGGAGGTGAATTTTTAAATCAAACTTTTTTTTTTTTTTTTTGATAAAGAAAACTATTTTCTGAATTATTTTTCTTCAATCTTTATAATGGAAATTGATGATTGAATAAATATTTACCATAGACATTGAGGCGTGCAGAATGAGTCACTTTGCCCGCTCGATTTTCAGCTGTACATGAATATTCACCACCATCTTCGACCATAACGTGACTGATATTGACATGGGAAATGACATCACCATGAACAGTGACGTACTGACCTATCACAAATCTGTAAACAAACAAAATTTATGTTCCTATTAAAATTAAATTGTCAATATTATATAATTAATCATTTAAGGACATGCAATGAAATAAATTATTATTAGGTATTATTATATGAGGTATTCCATGACAAATCGGAGACCATTTGGCTTTTGCACCTCAGATCTTTTTGAAAATTTTTTCCTTTTAGTACTCATGAAGACTAGCTTTCACGATTTTTTTCAAATTTTTTCAGCAAGCCCTTTAGGAGATATCAATTTTTGAAATATTAAGTCACTTTTTTTTGAAATGCTTGTAATTTTGCTAAAAATTGACCAAATTCGATCAGTCTTATATCAAAATTTTTGTTTTTAAACGTACTTTCCAAAAAAAAATATTGAAAGTTATTTTCGAAAACAATTTCTATTAGATTTTTGAGATTTAAGACTAAAAATTCGATTTTTTTCAAAATTTTTTTACAAAAACTGCTCTAAATTTGACAAATTTTGAGCCTAATCCGATAATGGGAAAACGATGGGAACTATTTTTTTCGAATTTTCAAATTTTACGTTTTTAATTATCTGTATGGAAATCAAAGAATAATCATTTTCTCTCATTCAAACCCAACGATTATTGTTAGTTTTATAAAATAAAATAGTTTAGAAAATAAATAATAAAGTAATTATTTAATTATTTATCTAAAATTTTGTTTTATTTGTAGAAGTTATTAAGCAATTTAAAATGAATGATTTTCAAAGTAATTCCACATAACTCGATAATTAATAAATATGAATGAAATCTTTAATCACAAATAAGAGTTAAAAAATAAATTTGCAGACTAGGAAGATCAAAACCTGAAAAAAACGGTAGATTCCTGTTTGAAAACAGAAATTATTTTCAAAATGGCGCAGTAATAGCGTGCACAGAAGAATACGAAAACGCGACTTGCGCACTGTTACTCCTGATTAATATTCACCATGGGAACAAGTGCGAAAATATCGCAATCAAATTTAACCTAAAAACATATTTTATTAGTCTTTATAGCGTGTCATGTAAAAACATAGTGAATATTAATCAGGAGTAACAGTGCGCAAGTCACGTTTTCGTATTCTTCTGTGCACGCTATTACTCCGCCATTTTGAAAATAATTTCTGTTTTAAAACAGGAATCTATTTGAAAATTCGAAAAAAATAGTTCCCATCGTTTTCCCATTCCCTCACAACAAAAGGATATCCTGAGGATATCCTAAATTAATGTAGGATATCCTGAAAACGTCCATAGGATATCCTCAGAACATCCAAATATAGTGATATCGTGGGGATATTCTTAGGATAAACTTGGTATATCGTTAAAATATTTCAGAAATATTGCTAAGATCTCCCTAGGATATTATTATGATTCAAATTTTGACTATTTAAGATAGCGATTTTTTGATACAAATAGTTAGCGCTTGAGTTGGTTTCAAGAGATTTTTTAAAGAAAAAGTAGAAAAAAGAATTCATGTAGAAAAAGTAAATCATTTTAGATATCTTGGAAATACATTATAAATACATCCAAAAAATATGTTTTCCATTTTTATTTAATTAATTTGTATGTTAGGGTCGTTTTATGGATACCTTAGGGACATTTTTAGAACGACTCAAGGATATTCTAACCCTTAAGATAATATAGGATATCCTTAGGACGTCCTCAGGACATCCCTAAGATATCCTAACCGCCGCTACTTTGGATATCCTTAAAGTATCCTTAGGATATCCCTGGGGTATCCCTAGGATATCCAAGGGATGTTTTCGGAATATCCTAGGATATCTGGTGCTGTGAGGGTTATCGGACTAGGCTCAAAATTCGTCAAATTTAGAGCAGTTTTTGTAAAAAAATTTTGAAAAAAATCGATCCTAACACACAGGTTCAAAAATGAATTTTTAGTATTAAATCTCAAAAATCTAATAGAAATTGTTTTCGAAAATAACTTTCAATATTTTTTTTTTTTTGGAAAGTACGTTTAAAAACAAAAATTTTGATATAAGATTGATCCAATTTGGTCAATTTTTAGCGAAATTACAAGCATTTCAAAAAAAAGTGACGTTATTTTTCAAAAATTGATATCTCCTAAAAGGCTTGATGAAAAAATTTGAAAAAAAATCGTGAAAACTAGTCTTCATGAGTACTAAAAGGAAAAAAATTTTCAAAAAGATCTGAGGTGCAAAAGCCAAATGGTCTCCGATTTGGCATGGAATACCTCATATATAAGGGACGTTCTTTATCAACCGGACCACCCCATCTCTCCATAATTGGTTTAATTTAAAAAATTTTTATCATATTGGAAAAATTATCTTGGAAAGTCTACTTTATAATCCCGGTGGGCGCTTTTTGAAATTCAAAATGGCGACTTAAATATGGCGCTTAAACGACATAAAAAACACAAAAAATCCACTAATATGATCTATATTATTGTTTAAAACTTCACATATGACGATAAAAATAACCACAACATAGTTTACTTACAAACTGATTACGTATCTCTATTCAAAATTCAAAAATTCAAAATGGCGGATAAAATTAAAAATTGAGATAGGCTCGTGAAAATTACTACTTGGGGGTTTTCGAGGTCGCTGATTACAAATTTGATGTCAGTTTTTAAAAATAATAAATGGCGGATTCAAAATGGCGGACAAAAAAATTTTTTAAATTGAGCTAATTTCGTAAAAATGTCTACATAAGGGTTTGTTTAAAAAAAGACAAAAAAAATCATTTTGCAATAACTTCTGTAAAAAAAAAAAAAAAATTTTTTCGCTTGGTAGAAACATTTCTGTGGTCTAATAGAACTGTTTTTTCTATATTTCGATTTAAAAAAAATATTTTTTATTTTCTGTGCTGATTTCACGAATTCTGACCCAAATAATTTAATAAAGAATTTTAGTTAAAAATTTGTTAAATAATTAAAGTAAAGAAGATCTGAAAAATATCTGCATTGTATACTAAAAGAAAAACGTATTTTGTTTAAAATTTTTTTTAAAAAAACGTAAAAAAGTCGCATTTTATTAAAATAAATCGAAAAAAGTTGTATTTTTGAAAAAAAAGTCGGAAAAAGTCGTATATAATCCGAGGTCTGTATTAAAAAAAAAGAGGAATTTTAATAATATATTTTCCATGAAAACCATTTCGAAGTGATTAATGTCTCATTTAGTTTGGTCGACCCATTATTCCCAGGTGTAGTCTACAACTGTCATACATATACATATGAAATTCTCAAGGAATAAATGTGACTTTAATTAATTAAAATTTGCGATGCATATATATATATATATATATATATGTATAAAGATGGAGCATTAATTTCACACTACAGTTAAATTGAGTAACGTTAACAGTAACGATTGTAATTACCGCTTGAAAATTACGTGATATTGCAGAGGGCAAAGTTTCAAGAATGGTTTTACGAGACCGAAACTCCTTGAGAAACTCTTGTAAGGTACTTTGGCGTCAATGAAGAGCCACGTGATCTGGGCTTTAGAGTGTACAAAATTTCATCACAAGATAATACTTAATAACATTTTCTTTTAGTTTTTTCTATTTTTTTTTTTTTTGAAATAGTAAATTTTTTTTCAACTGAAACTCATCGAATTCATTATAGAATATATATATATATAGCAAAGTTCATCCAGCACAATATGTTACCAGTTTCATATACGATAAATATTTTTATTCTCACCTTCGTTTTTTTTTCACTCATCGAAATTGGAAATGAAATTGCAACGCGCGCCTCAACGGCACAGCCAGATGCTACCAAGAATACTACCTATATATATATATACACTGTCGACGGAAATTACGTTTTAATTATAAATTGTGGCTACCGAGAAATTCCAGATCTCGTTTTATGTCGCTCGTATTTTTCCCCGAGTTCGAAAGAATAATCGCGGAAATTCTCTGGGGTATAGAGTATTCTTGAGAAGGTTTTTTTTTTAAATTTTTTTCTCTTCCATATATATATACGTATATATATATATATACTCTTTTAAGAAAAAGAAGAGACTTTACTCTTATATAAGATAAGTCTCGAAAAAGAGAGAGAAGGATCGACGAATTACCTTCCATTGGTGGGCAGAGGGAAACCATCCAAAGCCCAGGAAACTTGAGGGGTGGGATTCCCTGCGGCTGAACACTTCAACGACACTGCTGGTCCAGGTTGTAGTGTCTGCTCTATAAATGAGTAGAGAAGAACCGGCGGTGCGTCTGAAAAGCAAGTTTAAAGAGCAATTTTAATGCGATTTCTTACTCTTGTGTGTTAAATTTCAAATTCTATACAGATACTTATTATATATATAATGCCTGATTCTCTTTCATGTTTTATCGTCAAAAGAAAATTTATTCATCTTTTATTTCAACAATATTGTATTAAAAATATTCCAATATTTCAATATTAAATACAATACATTTGAGGAAACTAAATTTATAATTAAATTATAAAATACAAAAATTATAATTTATTATTACACCGTTCGACACAATTTTTGACCTACAAAAAAATTTCACATTTTCGGAAACTAGGACCCAACTCTCTAAATCTGAATTAGTAAAAATTTTTACTAATTTAAATTAGCAACTCACTTTTTATTTTAGAATTAGTTAAATTTTACTAATTGTTAGTAAAAGTTACTGATAATTAGTAAAATTTTACTAATTCAGAAGCAAAAAGTGAGTCACTGATTCAAATTAGTAAACATTTTTACTAATTCAGATTTAGAGAGAGAAAAAATACCCTTATCTGGCCGTTTTACTAGATCAAGTCGTTTGTGGTTTTTAGGGGTGAAAGTAACCCCTAAATGAAAAGTGACAAGATATATTTTAAAAATAGGAAAAGAACTAGGCGCAATTGCGCCTACATCTAGGGTTTCGTGGCGCTTTAAATTTTAATTAAAAAAAAAATAAATCAAAAATAAATAATTTAAAAAAAAATAATAAAATTTATTTTATAAATTTTATGTACTATTAAATTTTATTTATTTAGCAAAATTTTTATTATAAATTAATTATAAATTATAAAATATTAATTTCTATAAATTAATTCTCCCCCAGACAGTAAATTCGAAGAAAATCAAAAATTGGCAAAATCAAAATTCAAAAAGGTAAATGAAAGAAAAAAGAAAGAGTGGCTGTGGAGTGGAGGTCTTTCTTCTATCATTTATCTTTTTTGATTCACAAACAAAAACATTAGGTAAAATGTCCATTCGATAATGTCCACTATTAAGACATGTCAACTATAGGGACATGTCAACTATATGGACATGTCAACTATTGGGACATGTCAATTACTGAGACAGGTCAACTACTGGGACATGTTAATTATAGGGGCATGTTAACTAATGGGACATGTAATGTCTATTCATGTAATGTCTATTCATGTAATGTCCATTCGGGAAAATGTCCATTCAGTAAATGGAGATTTGGGATCTGTGGGGCCCCAAAATTTGAATTTGGGAGCTATGGTGCCCCAAAATTTGAATTTGGGATCTGTGGTGCCCCAAAATTCGAATTTGGAAGCTATGTTTGCCCAAAATTCGAATTTGGGATCTGTGGGGCCCCAAAATTTCAATTTGGGAGCTATGGTGCCACAAAATTCGAATTTGGGATCTCTGGTGCCCCCAAAATTCGAATTTGGGATCTGTGGTGCCCCAAAAGTTTAATTTGGGATCTGTGGGGCCCCAAAATTTGAATTTAGGATCTGTGGTGCCCCAAAATTTTAATTTGGGATCTGTGACCTAAAATTTGATTTTAAGAGCTGTGGTGCCCGAAAATATATTACGGACAGACGGACGCCAAAGTGAAACTATAAGGCTTTCGGCCATGGGCCACGAAACCCTAAAAATGGCAATCAAAGAAAATCAAAAATTGGCAAAAATCAAAATTGATAAAAAAGGTAAATGAAAGAAAAAAGAAAGAGTGGCTGCGGAGTGGAGGTCTTTCTTCTATCATTTACCTTTTTTGATTCACAAACAAAAACATTAGGTAAAATGTCCATTTGATAATGTCCACTATTAAGACATGAACTATTAGAGACATGTCAACTATAGGGACATGTCAACTACTGGGACATGCCCCTATAGAGACATGTCAACTATTGGGACATGTCAATTACTGAGACAGGTCAACTACTGGGACATGTCAACTATTGGGGTTTGTACTACGGACAGACGGACGCTTTTGGAGATGTCAACTATAGAGACATGTCAAATATAGGGACATGTCCCAATAGTTAACATGCCCCTATAATTGACATGTCAACTACTAGGACATGTCAACTATTGGGGTTTGTACTACGGACAGACGGACGCCAAAGTGAAACTATAAGGCTTTCGGCCATGGGCCACGAAACCCTAAAAATTATTAATATTTTATAAAACTTGGTATCTGGGGGTTTTCGGGGTCACTGATTATTAATCTGATGTCAGATTTTCAAAATTCAAAATGGCGGATCCAATATGGCGGTCAAAAAAATTTAAAAAGTTATTAATTTTTTATTTTATATCCGCTATTTTGAATTTTGACAATTTAACATCAGATTCGTCATCAGCGACCCAAAAAACCCCTAGATATCAAGGTTTAAAAAAAATTTAATAACTTTTTAAAATTTTGACCGCCATATTGAATCCGCCATTTTGAATTTTGAAAATCTGACATCAGATTAATAATCAGCGACCCCGAAAACCCCCAGATACCAAGTTACATGTCAAAAATATTTAATAATTAATTTTAAAAAATGTCAACAATAATAATAAATATAAAAATAATAATAAAGAATTTTATAGTTATAAATTTTTTTTCAATTTTTTAGTTTTTAGATCTCGAAGAAAAAAATTACCTATATGATATAATTCATTTTTTTCCATTTAAAAATATATTTCCAAAGGTAACATATTATACAAATAAAAAAAAAAATTCTAATAATTGAGAATATGAAAAGAATATAAAATACGTCAATGGACAAATAATTTTTATCGAATCGAATTGAACAATTTCCAATGTTTGAACGAATTTATAATATTCGCAGTTGTTCCAATTTTATTACCCTTTTCTATATCAGAAAATGAAATCGGATTCTTTCCAAGAGATCCTATAAATATCAGTAAAAATACCCTTCTTATATGTGACAATCCAATTCGCACAGTTATTATTTAAAAAAAAGATGATTTTTTAATATTACATTTTTTTGGAAAAATTTTGAATTTTAAAAATATAATATATTTACTCTGATGAATTTAATGAATTATTTCAATTATTCTGGACAGGCTTCTTTTTTATTTAATGTAAAATAAAATAAGAGTTACCAATCAACTTAAACTATTTTAAATTACAGCCCCCTTACATATAAAAAATTTTTCATAAAAAATAAAAAGAAACAATAAACAAAAGATTTGAAACTTTAAGTTCACACTGGGAATAAAACGAGTACAATGGAAAAAAATGTATGCGTAAAGAGATTGAATAAAAAAAAAAAAATAGAAAAAAAGTAATATTAAACAATTGAGGGTGCAGTGAAATATTCACAGATTCGCTCGGCTAGAAGTTGCGCGCACATAAAAAAAAACTTTCTCAATATATCTTTGCACATGAATGAGGAGAGAAAGAAAATTGTAAAAATGGAGAAAGAGTTAAAGAAGATGAAAATCGAATGAGATAGACGTCAGATTTGACTTTCCAAAAGAAAGTCAAGTAATTAAAAAAAAAAGAAAGAAAAGAAAAAAAAAATTGTGAAAAAGAAAATCTCAATGTGTCCTTGTCGACGTGACGCTTCGGTTCACAACGTTTTCACAAAGGTTCCGTTTTCCCATAGAGAAGATTCGCGAGACCGTATCAAATTTGATGAATCTCGTCGTCATGCGAATGATCAGATTACGAATGGGATGAACGATCTTCAATCGCAGATATTCCTCAGCAATCAACTCAATGATCCTGTTTAAAATCATTAATGAATTCGCAAATTAAAACTTTTTTATCATCGCATATATGATGGTTTTTTTACGCTATGAAAATCTCGAACAAAAAAAGTTTTTCCAATTAAAACGCGTCCAAGTTTTTACTCTCTTATCTATTCTTTGTGGAAAACAATTTTTTTTTTTACAAAGAAATTTAAATTAGTTCAGTTTTTAAAAATTTAATAATGAAAATTTCCTAATTATTATTAAAATAATAACTTCATGTTAATTAATTTTTTATTTAAATATGGAAGATAAAATCTATGTTCAGTAAGTTAGTAAAATTATATTTTATTTTTAAAAGAAAGAGTTTTTTTATTTTAAATAATTTAAATGAAATAAATCCATTGCTTCTTTAGAGGTTTATTTTTTACACTGCTTCAATAAAAAAATATTTATAAGTGTACAAATGAAAAATAATAAGTCGTTTGAATTGATTCCATGAGAATTGTCCTATGGAATTTTGAACTAATTTAGAATTCTTAAATCACATTAAAATTTTGTTTTCAAAAAACATATCTAACCCCAAAAACTATTTTAATATTTTAAACAATTTTAAGGTTAATTTTGAGATTATTAATAATACTTATAATTTATTCACAGTAAACTTGGTTGTATCTTTTTCTATTGCAACGTTTTGATGCACATAAGTTATATCAAAAAGAGATCGTTTTGTGTATCATTTTCAGAAATGATACACGAAACGGTCTCATTTTTTGATGCAAAAAATTTAATCAATTTATATCAATCATGGCCGAATTGAATCGACTCAAAATTAAACGAATTTTTTTCAGATATTTTGGTAATAGTACAATTGCGGAGACCATTTCACTATTTAATTTGAAAATGAAAATAACAGAAAATCAAAGACAATGTGCAATTCGATAATTAAAAAGTGACAGCTTATAAACATAACCTAAAATGCATGAGAAAAAATTTGTCGATAAAATCAATATAGCCGAGCTTTTTAGAAGGTAGATGGCAGTTTTGCTTTTTATAAAAACGATGCAGAAAAAATTTAAAGAAAGAAAATAGATGAGTGCTGCCATCTACCTTCTAAAAAGCTCGGCTATATTGATTTTATCGATAAATTTTTTCTCATGCATTTTAGGTTATGTTTATAAGCTGTCACTTTTTAATTATCGAATTGCACATTGTCTTTGATTTTCTGTTATTTTCATTTTCAAATTAAATAGTGAAATGGTCTCCGCAATTGTACTATTACCAAAATATCTGAAAAAAATTCGTTTAATTTTGAGT